ATTCTACTCACATATAGACCTATCTGTGGGCAAAATATCAGGTCGAAATACAATCATTCGATTTGTTGGTATATATCATGCCATAGACTAAAATTCTAGTAAAATGCCTATAACTCTGGGCAGAAGACCTAACAGCCCTTATCCTTTTAGGGTTTTTCATACCTCATTGGGGTCTACATTATGCACAGAGTCCGAACTCAAATGCGATTTTACACTTGCATATGTTCCCTCGTTAGAAGAATTCGCTCTGAGTGAAAAGCTCAGCGGAATAAATGTTTGAAAAAAAGAAGTCAAATGTGGCTGTCCTACATATCTTGAATTGACCAAGTGCTGTAAGTATTTACACTAGAACTTCAATTAATGTAATTTTCTGAACATTTATTTATTTTTTTGAGTTTTTGGTTCAGAGTAAAACCTAATAGATTAAGAATCTCAAGCTCGAGCAACTAGTATAAGACCCAAATAAAACGAATCTCCAAGTCGCTCAGAGCTTTTTTTTTCACTAACAATAGGATGGAAATGAAGAAAAAACTAAAGTTCACATTCACCGATATGCATACACATTGTTTTTTGAATAAACTTGATGATTGCCTTCTTTTTTCTGTATACTTATGTTGAACGCTCTCATGCCTAAGTATAAGTGTTCATAGTTCTGTTTTCTTTTGTACACTTCCAAATTAAGATAAATGCAAGAGAAGTTAGTCGCAAAATCTGATCTTTTATCGGCGATATGATTTTGGTACTTCTGTTTTCAGAACAAGAAACAAATCTTGTCCATTTTTTCTTTGTTTTGTACTTTTTTTGATGGTGTATCCTAGGATTCTTGAAGGAACTTCATTATAGACAATGATTGTTATTGTTTGAAAGAGCATATAAGGATGTAGGACATGATCTTGTTCTTTTTTTAAACACTGACTTTTTAAAAGAAGACAAGAGATGAAAAATTCAATGTCCCAAAATATTGCTAGAAAAAAAACCAAAAAAAAGACATATTTTTCAAGAAGAAAATGGCGAAAGTTTTCGAAAAAAAAATGGCTCCGCTAATAAAAGAAAATTTCTTACCTTTTTTTTTTATGTAAAACAATATTTTTATTATTTTTAAATCAAACCAACTACAAATGGACAAGAATTTAAATATATCGTGTTTTACTATCGTATGCTTCCAGATTTTCACCAAAACTAAGAAGAGAAAATAACAGCATAAAAGAACATGAATATATATATATGTCCTTATCATGAGCTTTACAGCTCCTTTTAATCCCTTTAATCTACTTTATTCTTTTTTTTGTAAGTCCGTTTACTCTCTTTAAAAGGACAAAAGTAGATATAGCGATTAAAATAAGTAAAATATACGAATGTCATAGTAGCCTAAAAATAGTAAAGTTAGACAAGTTAAATTTATTTTCTTTTCAATTCTTCAAATCAACAAATGATAAATATATGAGACAAGTGTCAACAATCATATATTCAAGGAGAAAACATAGAAATGATTTTATCATATCTCATTTACATTTTATATTATATTTTATGTCATTCAAAATATTCAAATGAAAAATTTAAGTAAAACATAATAATTATTTATATTCGAATAAATGTAAATTTTGATAATGTACAAATTTTGAGATATACAATTGACAAATATGTAAAAAAAAAAAAAATTTATTGATATACTTCCTAAAATTATACAAATATTAGTAACGAATAATTTTTGATACAGTGGCGTTTTATGTCATCTATACTCTTATAACAGTCTCTTATCATTTATCCGATACATATTATATAAGAGAAGATAACAATCAAGTGTTCACAGTAATATGTATAAAGAATATTAATACAACATAATAATCACACTTTGAGAAGCGTAACCAGATGTATTATTTATATATATGCAACTAGATATGACAATAAATTCAATTAAGATGACATATTTTATTTGACTTATGAGTCAATTAACATTTATCAGAGATATCCACAAGAGAGATCGACTTTTGTTACAAGGACTACTGAGTAAAAAAAGAAAATCGCTCAATTTTTCGCTAGGAAAAATAAAAAATTTTCTAATCTTTCAGAGATCATTTTCAGTTGTAGCAGAGTCTGTCAGGATGCTTTGAGAACCGACGAACTCTGAGTTTTACTATTGATAAATGTCCTTGTAAATTAATTATGATGATCGATCAAAAATAAATTTCTTTCTTGTTAATCGTTCTTTATCTTTTTTTTTTTTTTCTAATTCAATTATCAAATATCTATAGTTGAATTGCGTGTTATTATTCTATCAATAGATTTCGTTCAAGAAAATTACTAACTATGAAGAAGAATTCAATTAATAAACATGAAATAACTTAAATTAATTTATCTATATAAATTATCTTGATTATTTTTATTCAATAATATGAAAAACAAATTAGTATTAACAAATATTAAAGAATAACAATAAACTATTTAAAAATTTCTTTCTTTATTCAAGAAGCAGTCTGTCATTTAAGAGTTTATTGAAAAAAATCACAAATATTTCTTTAAAATTAAATATGATGACCGAAACATTTTATTGTTTTCCAGTCCTACTATATTTTTGTTTGTATCAAAATATATACGATAATTGAAGTTCTGTTGGTTTTTTTTATGTTGTTTTAGATGTTTTTTTTTTGTTTTATTGATTTAACACCTCAGTTCGTTCTATCGTTTCTTTTGTCAAAGACATCAAATTACTATTTGATCACATTCTTTTTTGAATGCTTTATTGTTTACATGTAAGATAAAAGGTGTTCGACTGTGAGTGACCTCTCTCAATACATATTTGTTGAGTAAAAATATTCTTGCGGTTGGATTTTATAATACCATTGCTTACTCATTCAATTTTTTTTTTCTTTTTTTATGATAGACACTTCAAAGAATATTTATTTTCTTCCGTTCTCCTATATATAATTTTTTTTGCGTTTTTATATTCAGAATTTTATTATTTTATATGAATCTCTCTCTCTCTCTTTTCAACATGCCAAATAACAAGAAAAATAATTTTTTTTTTTCTCAGGAAAAAATTTTTCATTTAATCTAACGAGTTTTTTTTTTTATTGTTTCGAACAAAAATTACCCTTGAGTTATAGGTCAGATAATAATAAAATACATTTGTCATTATATCATATGCTAAAGGGTAAATAAAACTTAACACTTGTTCAATGAAGAGAGAAAAAAAAAGAATCTTATCAATTTTATTTGAACTTTTTTCTTTTTTCTTCTTCAGATTTGAAATAACTGTATCTATGACAAGTACTGAAATCGTAAGGTTTGTTTGATTATTATTATTATTATTATGTACACAAAAAAAAAAAAATTGATTATTTTTTTTAAATTAAGACGTAATAGTTTTGATCGTTTGCAAGCAATGGATAATGATCAATCAGAATCATCGTATATGTGTGAGTGTGGACAAGAATATATGACAGAAGAAACTCTCAAACAACATCAAGTATGTCATGAGAAATGAGTTTTTTTTTTTTTTGTAATATTGCTTTTTTTCTAGCAAACTAATTGCAAAAATCGATCGATTCAATGTTCATTTTGTCAAGAAATATTCTCATCAAATCTTATACGTGATCATTTACTTTCATGTGGAAATAAAACTGATGAATGTCCACGTTGTCGTCAATTTATACGACGTTCTCATTTTGCTTATCATTATGAAAATAATTGTGCATCAATAGATGATATTGAAACTCCTCCAACTCGACCTAAAAATCGATTAATACAACAACATGGACCTACTAATTCTAATAAACCTATATTGAGAATAGATATTCCTAATGATAGTAATTCTGATCAAAATTCATTAACAAATTCTTCAAGAGGAAATGGTAGATCTCCATTATTAATATCAAATTCAAGTGAATATTTATTAATCTCTAAAAGAAAAAAA